GCCTTCAAGCAAAAATTCCTAGAAGGTCTCTCAAGTCACACATTTAAGTTCCAAGTTTAAACATGCTTCTGTGTTCTCCTTTTGCAAAGTTTTGTTGCCTTAGGTACTTGCTACCCTCAGTCTGTGCATATCAGCCTCTGTATGGTAATTCTCAACCTCAATGTGAGTAAACTGTTTTCACTGTAGAAATGCATAAAGGAGAACTCTTAAATTTATTTTCTTTCTTATGTTTGTTTCTGCCTTTGTCTTGAGGGATTGAGAATGTTGTTAACCAGCAGAGAGAGTTTCTCCTCAGTCAAATTTCACTTGAGTGCAATCATGCTTCACATGGCCAATGGTTCGTATCAAGCAGTGATTTTAAGGGCATTGTTGACCTTTCTGAGTCAAGAACTCAACATTTAAAAAAATAATTCCATGCTTGAAGATTTTTTTGTAGCACAGAAATTTGTACAAATAGAATATTATATTCTGAGTCTTTGCATATATTTTAAGAGAGGTATTCTAATGTTTTTTATTTCTGTACTTTTCTGTTTTCAACACCTTAGAATGATTGAACTAACTCCTTTTATATCTTATACTTTTTATTAACCCTTCCATTTTTAATATTTAAGTATAGAAATGACAAAGAAGCTACTATTAGAAGATAAAGGCTTAGTTGAAAGTGGTGAATCACTTTGTTAGGTAACCTTTGGTTCCCAGGTACAGCGAATCATTAACCCCTCTAGGGGGGAGCTGACATGTCAAACACAAATAAACAAGTGAAAAACCAGAAGGTAAAATGGTGATTTACACAAGACCACCTAAATATGTTTAGTTCTCAAAAGAAATGAGGGTAAGTTTGCTTGGCATGCAGAAAAGAACTTTCTAGCATTTCAAGTATACATAAAATTCCATATATGTAAATAAGGTCTATAACTTCAAAAATCTATATTGCTTATATGCTGTATCTAATCTAAATGAAAACCCAACTTTGATGTTCATTTTGTCACAATAGCACGCTGACTTCACCATCATGACCAGTAAGAAATAATGTCAAATCAAAAGTAAAATGCTTGTAGAGAGACATTTGTGAAAACAGGTTTAATATATATTTTTAACAGAATGAGTTTCCAAGTTGAAAATCAAATAGACTATGAATTAAGCCTTATCAAGAAGATCAGTGTGTTCCACTTGTATGCATACCATTGTTTGCTTGAGTATTTCCCTAAGAATATTTTGACTTTGATAAACTGATGCATAGTTTCTGAAATATGTTAGTAGCAAAGGCTACTGTTTTGGTAACCTATATTGGCAGTAACAGATTACCAGATTTCTAACAGATTATCAAATTTCTATGTTGGCAACCCATATTATTTTCTTTACTACCTACTGGTAAACAGAAGACAATTCAAATAAAGTTGTTTCTAGATTGATAAATTCTTCCAAGTTTTCTAAAGGTGGAAAATGTGGTGTTGTCCCTTCTACATTTTCAAAAGTGGTGATGGTTTTCCCAGGCTGGGTAAAATGATGAGTAGTATGACACTTTGTGATGTTCTTGGTACATCGTATATGCTGCACAGTTTTACAGATTTCAGAATTCTTCCATGTACTATTCACATTCACCTTACCATTCTGGAAGACAGTGCTAATAGAGAGACATTTGGGAATAGATGTCTTAAGAACAGATGTCATTCTATCAATTTATAGATGATGATGAATCTAGACAAATTTCAGTATGTATCAATAATCACAAAGCTAGGACATAGTAGAACCAGGATTAGAACCTAGGTTTTCATACTTGAATCTGAAAAACTCCAATGCACTTTAATACAAATTCAGAGACTTTTAGCTTTTAGTCAAGGGAATCTTATTATACGTTGGCAATGTAGAAGTGATATGTTCTGTACATTGTGATAGCTTTTTACACCTCTCATTTTTGGTCACTATGAACTCTCATTATTGTTTCCCTTTGATTCCTTTAATTGTTAATCTTATTTTCCATCAAGAATTTAAGACCTGACCTAAACATTGTAATTAAACATTTCAGTGGTGTTACTAGAGGGGCATGGACCACACTGGGTAACATTGTAAGAGGGGTGACCCTAAGGTGACTAACTGAAAAATTTTGCACAGTGTTTCAACTGAAATTTATTTTAATAAAAAATACCCCTGTAGTTAGTTATAATAACAAAAACATTTTTGTAAGCCCAGTTTGCATGTATCAATGTGCCTACAAGGCTAAAACTCAATACTAATTTACTTTTTGGAACTTCTAATGCTTCATATGATCTCCTGGCATGGCGTTGTATGATCAACACTGGACTGTGAACCCCCAAGGTTGGCAGTTCATACTCACCACCTGCTCATTGGAAACCCAATACAGAGTTGTTATGAGTTGGAACCTACTCGATGACACTTAACAACAACAATACATTATATGCATATGAACGTTGGACAGTGAATAAGGAAGACCATAGAAGACTGAAGCATTTGAGAATATTAAAAGTACCATGGACTTCCAGAAGAACAAACAAATCTGTGTTTGAAGAAGTACAGTCAGACTGCCCCTTACAAGCCCTGATGGTGAGACTTGGTCTCTCATACTTCAGGCTTAGTTTAGGAGGAACCAGTCCTAGAGAAGGACACCATGTTCGTAAAGTGGATGGTCAACAAAAAAAGGAAGAGCCCCAACAAGATGGATTGCCACAATGGCAGCAGCAATGCACTGAAGTGTGACCATTGTGAGGATGATACAGGAATGGGCCGTGTTTCGTTCTGTTGTGTATACAGTAGCTATGAGTTGGAACTGACTCAGTGGTACCTAACAACAGTGTGTTCCAGTCAGAGCTGTCATTATTACCCAATTACAATGACTTCGAATCACGTGATTTCATCTATACATACTGCCAGTTTGTGCTGTTTTCTAATTTCTGCAGGTGTTTTAATAGTTGCTGATTTTGTCAAATTTTCTAGTATTTTGACTATAATTTTGTGGTAATTAGTATTTGTGAACCTACATCAATAACTTTTTTGAGAATGAAGTAGTAATTAAAAGAAAAGTAGGAGAAAAACATGACTTTTACTCAGTCACTAATAATGTAACTAATAATGTAATTCAATGTACGAAGATTTTATAAAGCAATTCTGTTGTTAGTGTTCATATAATCTAAGAAATCTTATGTTTAAACAATTTACAACTATATCCATCTCATATTATTTTATAATTGGAATCCTGGTGTGACACTGTAGGATAAGTACTGGACTGCTAGGTAAGTTGGAACTGCAAAGTCTGTGGATCAAACCCAACAGCTGCTCCTTAGAAACCCTATGTTGTTGTTGTTGTTAAGTGCCGTCGAGTCGGTTTCGACCCATAGCGACCCTGTACAGGGTTTCCGAGGGTGTAAATCTTTACGGGAGTAGA